GGCAGGCGGGAATCGAACTCATGCGGAAGTGGCTTCAGATTCTCAGTGCTGTGCTTTAACCCGCTGCGCCACCAGGGAGGGCCTGAATTAGTAATTTTTAAAGAGCTCTGGGTTGCTGCCGTTGTGTGGCTGTTTGGGAATCCCTGTCCAAATTTCAAATTTTTCACCAAGGTAGAAAACAGGTGTCCTTCGCTGGAAGCCAAGTTATACCTGCCAGGGTAGGACTGACTCTGTATTTACCAGGCAGGGGTGAAAATGTTTAAAAAGGAAAGCAATTTTCAGAGGTAATCCTATGATCAATATGAATACACTGCTCTGTTCCCTGAGAGAGATTGCTGTGATTTCACATAGAAAAAAGCAGGTAAGAAGTTTTGAACTCTAGCAGCCAAAGGTTTATTTCAGAAGTCTCATCTTTCAGGACAATGTTCAAAGTTGCAAATGAAAGAGTAACTTGCACTCAGAATCCCAACTTCTGTTTATGTTTCAAGTACTGGTCCAGCTTCTAGAAGACTTAGTTCAAGATAAAGACAGTATCTAAAAACCTGAAAGGCCTGTATTGTTGCTGGACTGTTTGCATAGTATATATCAGAGTCCTTCCTCTACCTTAATAGTCTACAATCTGGGGGCCTCCCTGGTGCACAAGGGGTTAAGTCTCAGCTCTATGAAGCTCTCTGCAGCCACTGCAACAAGAGTTCCATCCCAGGCTAAGGAGCTGACCCACATGGCACACCACTCTTCTATCTCGCCCATTGCTCCCCTCAGCGATTATTTCAGTCACTCAGCCTGTTCTGCTCCCACTCTATTTCTGGTGAATCCTCTCACCTTCCCTGTACCTCTGGCCTACACTGCAGCTCTTGCATAAAAAAATAAATCTTAAAAAAAAAAAAAAGGAATGTAGAATGGTGATTAGAAAGAACTGGGGAGGGGGAGAATAGAGTGTTATGGTTTAAAGGGATGATGAAAAAGTTTCAGAAATGTGTAGTGGTGATGTGTACAACAGTGTGAATGTACTCAATGCTACTGAACAGTACAATTATAAAACTGTTAAATGGTAAGTTATATGTTCCAAGTTTGTTACCATATATACACATATAAGAAGTCTTATCACATCACTTCCCTGCTTAAAAACCCTTCAGCGGTTTCCCACTGCACTTAGAATAAAATTTAAAATCTTTACCACAGTTCTCAAGACCCTACATAGTCTGACTTCTACCTTACTCTATGTCTCAATCTCACACCCCTTCTGCTTGGAACACCATAATACAGTGCACACTAGGTAAAACACACCAAACTTCATTCTAACATTACAGTCTATAAAGCTGTTATTCTCCTGCCTGGAATGCTTCACGTGGCTTGCACCCCTTTGTCCTGGTGGCATAGCGGGTTAAAGCACTGCACTGAGAAGCTAAAGCCACTTCTGCATGAGTTCGATTCCCGCCTGCCCAGGAGGAGATCCACATGGCGCGGCAGACCTCTCCTGACCCGCCCCCTGCTCCCCTTAGCAGTGTACTTCGTAGATCTGCCTGTTCTGCTCCCCATTCTGTCTCTGGTGAATCCTCTCACCCTCCGCATCTCTGGCCTATACCCCAGTTCTGTATGCACAAATAAATAAATCTTTAAAAAGAAAAAAAGTAGCACTCACACTCCAACCCCACTTCCAGCTTCATCTCACTGTCTATATAAAATTGCATATTCTATGTTTAAAACCTTACGCAAGTTATTTTGTCATCCTAAGCCCCAATGTCCCCACTTTCACAAAAGCACATGGTAAGGATTAAATGTCACCCCATATTGTTCTTCTGATTAGCTCTCATGACCTTCCATAATCTAGTCCCCATCACTAAATTTACCTGCCATCATTCACAAAGCCACATCCCCAATCAAGTCGATCTTTCCATTGTCTCATATAATACTGATACCTTACACTTATGTGTATTTTAAATTTACTAAGCATGTTTTCTTATATGCTCTCATTCAAAAACAATCAGCTGTCAGAGAAGTGATAGGCTTGAAAAGTTTCTACTTAGTATTTGTGAACAATGGAAAATATTCTACTGGTACGAGTCATTGAAGAATTACCCAGTCCCTCAAGATGACATAACAGCACATTGTTGATGAGACTAGTTCATCTTCCAAGTAGTCTCAAACGAGATGAGGGTATCTGCTTAAAAGCTACCTTAACCAGAAGGGTTTCAAAACCTCATTACCCTTCTCTAGTCCACGTTGATCTAACTCCCACAGCACATTACTTTATACCAACTGATTTTTACACACTAAGTCTTCCAATCATGTGTAAGCACTGTCTTCTTAAGTCCCAGGTCCCTCAAGGGCAAGCATACATGTTTAGTGACTGCTGCCACAACTCCCACAGAGCCTGATGTACGTAAGTAGTCACCAAGAGATACCTTAACAGTTCACCTTTACATATCCCTGACACTAACATCACCTTTCAAGCAACAATGTGACTCCCTGTAGGTCTAGAGGGACAGAAGAGATGAAAGGCAGAGGTATAATTAAAGTAACTGCATCACCTGTGTCTTTACTGAAAGAACCTAATCTAGTCTAATCCAATCCCCACATTACAGATGAAGAATCTAAAGGTCAAATATGTTAATAGTCTTACCCTAAAATGATATAATCAGTTAGTGGCAGAAACTGTACTGCTCTAAAGCACAGGTTCTGACTTACCATCTAGTTTTTCCTCTATACCCCACTTTCCTCCACTAGAAAATCCTGTTTGTAAATACTGAGTGAGTTGTAATATCAAATGAGGCTTGTTCTTTTTTGCTTTAAAATAATATAATCAGAAAATGGTGAAGACAGTTTAGGGCAATAATGATAA